CAGCGGGCGGGGCTGCTCGGCTGAGGCGCTGCGGGCGTCCCCGAGCGGAGAACGTGGGCAGGTACCGCTGCCAGAGAGAGCCCTCCGCTCCGCAGTGACGCCTCGACAAGTTAGAGATGGACGATCGCTGGTCGGATTCTGCACCTGGGCCGGGAGAGCCCTGGCCGTGTGTATAGCCTGGGGAACGGGAGAACAGCGCTCTGCAAAGGGACCTAGGGGTCCTGGGCGATGGAAAGCTGAATGTCAATCAGCAGTGCCCTGGCAGCCAGGAGAGCCAGCCCCGTCCGGGCTGGTGGCCATCAGGCACAGGTCCCGCCGCTGGGGGAACGCTGATTGTTCCGAGCTGGGGCGGCTGCACCTCGAGTGCTGGGGGCAGTTTGGGGTGCCACAGTACAAAAACGACATTAAGCTGTTTGAGAGCATCCAAAGGAGGGCTGCAAGGACGGTGAGAGGCCTTGAGGGGATGCCGTATAAGGAGCGGCTGAAGTCACTTGGTCTGTTCAGGCTGGAGGAAACTGATGAAAGACCTCATTGCAGTCTTCCACTTGTCCATGAGGGGAAGAGAGGCAGATACTGATCTCTGTGGTACCCAGTGACAGGACTTGAGAAAACAGCATGAAGCTGAGTCATAGGTGGTTTAGGTTGTGTATCAGGAAAAGGCTTTTCACCCAGAGGGTGGTTAAGCACTGGAACAGGCATCCCAGGGCAGTGGTCACAGCCTCAAGCCTGACAGAGCTCAAGAAGCATTTGGACAGTGCTGTCAGGCACATGGTGGGATTCTTGAGATGTCCTGTGTAGGGCCAGAGTTGGACTCAATGATTCTGATGGGTCCTTTCCAATTCAGCATATTCTATGGTTCTATGATTGTGCCAGCCACTGAGCTCCCTGCGCCTCATGGAAACCTCTGTGAGCTTTAGGAAGGGGCTGAGCAGGCTCTCGGAAGATGAACAGGGCAGTACATGGGCTGCTTGATCCAAAATTGGCCGTGGTGGTGGTTGTCTGCCAGCTGAGAAAGCTGGTGTTGCTCACCCTGTCCCGCTTGTGTCCGCACGTTAAATACTCTATAAAGTAGATACAGACTCTTTACATCTTCATTCAATAAACTACTACAGTCTTGTGAACAAGAACTGCGGCAAGAGCGAGACCTTGAGAAGACCACTCAATGCTGAATTGTTTCAGTTAAAAATGTTAGAATTGTTTCAGTTAAAAATGTTAGGAAACTCATGAAGGAGACAGAAAAGGCTTATAGCTATAACTTAGCTGTAATTCATGATTTCAGTGGTTTGACAGTAGTGCAATTCAGAGTGCTTTTGTGACATTTTCTCAGATGATTGAGGAATATATATAAATTTTTTTCTGTATTTTGGCAAACTGAGTATTAGTTCCCTCTCCATTTGAAGCAATAATCTTTAGTATTAATTAAATGTATAATTGTTGAGCCCACAGTGAAGCCTAAACTGCATGTCTGAGATGAAGATAACTGGTGGTGTAACTATCAAGCTTTTTCTGTATGACCCCATGCACTCACCTGCAGAAGTGCAGAAATAGGTGGGCACTTTACAAATCTAATTTTTAATTGCTCCTCTTCATAGAGCTGTGTATTGGGTAGTATTCAATTTTGCAGATATTTGGGTTTTTTTAATACCTGTCCACTTCAGAGCCTGCTTTAGAAACCAGACTGAGGATATGTATTACTCATCTGGCAATCACAGAGCTCAAGAGAGTAAACAAAGAAATTCGTGATCAAAGGCCAAGATAATATTCTCATTGTTCGTGTAGATAAGGATGATAAGAAAACACAATTATGCAAAGACAAGGGCAGGGAGAAGGGACTTGACATGAAGGCCCACGAGTAAGTGTAGTTTCTGAAAGTAGTGTGAAAATTAGTATGGCCCCTCTAAATGAGATGCTAAACATGCAGATGATTTGCCTGCAATCACAGCAGACCAGGAGGGGCTATTGAGGGCTGATCCTGAACATCCAATTTTTCAGCTAAGTGTTCCATCTGCTAGATCACATTATCTGCTGATACTCATTTTCTAATATTACTTAGCTGAGAAGTTTCTATGCTGTTCAAAAATCAGTTTTAAAAGAATTAGAAAAAAAACCCCGAACACTTTAAATAATAAACAATCCTTTTATCTGTTTAGATTACTGCAGAATTTCAAGAATAGGTATTCTTTCCATGGATAGTTTGTTTACTTTGTACTGCTGTCAGTACAAAGACAACTGTAGTTGTCTTCAGCATTAAAGTTAGAATAATATTTTTCTTGGCTGTTTATAGTTATTTTAATTTCGCTATTATAATTCCGCTGAAGTGTTGTAATGTAGTCAGGTCTCATGTTTTGTGTGGAGTTGCTTGTATTCAAATGTTGTTGTTTTTTTTTGTTTATTTGAGTGTTTGTCTTAGTCTTGGGGTTTTTTAGCTGGCATAAAAACACACCAGGTCTGACAGGCCCATCAAGGGAAATTGGTCCACCTGCCTCAATCATGTGAAGTAAAGATGTATTCCTTTCTAGCTGCTAAAAAGAGCTTTTAGCAAGCTAAAAAGAGCAGTCCGTCCAACAGAAATGCATAGCACAATTTTTTTCCCAGAATAAAGAGAGTCAGCTTCTATTTACATAATAAAACAAGAAAGCAAAAAAGCAAACTCACTATTAAATTTATATTCTACACTGTTTATCCAGTTAACCAAGGCAACAGAATGGATTCCTTCCACCACAATTATTAAATATGTTTTCCTAAAATTGATCCACCAGTTCAAAATATTGTTGCACTCTGAAACAGCAGAGTTGTGATTTAAAACAAAAGATGTAACACTGAGGAGAAATTAACACTTGCTAATTCATGCACAACAATTACCTATCTAATGAGCAATAAAAGGAGTTGCCCTTTTACCACTAATTAAAGCTTGAAGTAGCTTTATATCAGAAAAATCTCTGCTTTTCTGCCACTCCCTACTCAAGGTCATCAAATGTTACAGCCTTCTTGTAGCCTTTTTTAGGAGACTATGACATAGATTGACTGTGTGAAGCTGTAGTAATATCCTGTCCATAAACTTTGTATTTATCTTTGCTTTGATTATTTTCCTTTGGCGTTCACTGTGGTTTCAGGAAACACCCATCATTTTATACAACAGGCATACACCAGCATATCATATGTTTTGTTCCATCTTTCCTTCCTTATGTTCTTTTCAGATCACCATTCTGATTTTTACCAAAGTCATATTCTGATGTGTAGCTGATTGTGTCTCCAGGTTGCGTGTTAAGGAGAGACAGGTTAGAAATTAGTGAATTCAACTTTCAGTTTTACTGACTGTTTGTTACAGACCACTGATATCAGCTCCCACCATTTCCAGCACAGCTGTGTTGTTCAAAACATCATTAGCCATAGCAGTCTTCCAAGGAATTATCATTTTTTGTCTTGTCTAAGCACTTTTTACCTCTTTAAGTCCTGTCATGGGTTTAATAGAGGGTTTGAAAAGTTTCCTTCTAACTCCCATTTTGCTTATGACTGTCATCACGATTGGCTTGCAAGATCTTAGGGGTCTGGTACATATGTGAGATACCTCGAGGCTGCATGCTCACTCTCCTCTCATCCATCAGCACTTCATATATATAAACAGGTTGGTTTCCAGCCAGCCATGACGCAGACCAACATTATTTATTCTACTGTAAACCAATATAATGATTATTATGGCAATCATGTATATCTCTGATGGGCATTCCTTTCTGGCACTCCTTTACAGCACAAGCTTTACCCAACAAATTATTTTAGAAAGCAGCTCTATGCTTTGTCAGTGTTACAAAGCATTTTATTCTGGGGCCATTTTTTCCTGAGGTGTTCCATCAAAAAGTTGTGAGCATGAAATTAACAAGTATCCTCCCCTGCCTTTGAAATGAATGGGTTCTTGTGAGTTCCAGAGATTTTACACTGCCATATTTTAGTATTCTCCCTTCACAAATGGGTCAAATTAGCACACTTGACTATTTAATTTATGCTTAGAAATATGCACTATAAAGAATATATACTATCCACTAGCATTTATTTGCTCTGACAAAAAAAGATTAATTAGTTTGGAGAGCCATGGAGTGCCATAGATAATTGCTCATTACAGTATTTGGTACAGTCCAGCTCTTGTTACACCTCACTGACCACAGGTGATAATTGCATTGGGTTTTTTCTCTCTCATTCTCTCTCCTGATATCCCACAGGTGCTAACATTTTCTTTGCCTCGTACTGTCATCTTCTAGCTGGAAAGCATAATTAAGCCAAAGTCAGAAAAGGTTGCTCCGTATCTGTAACTAAGTTAAAGTTCACAGCTTTATTTTCTTTCAAAACTGAATGAAGGCTTGCTGGTACCAATTGATTTAATAAGGTAATTAAATATCCTTATCCAATATCCTCCTTTGGAGCTCAGTCCTCATATAAAGTATTTTATACTTTTTGATACTGATACTTGCACATCCTCGTGGACTTTGTTCAGCCCAAGTGCTTTACAAGTTGTGTTTTTTTCTAGCACAACTTACAGTTTAGCTCCTACGGTGTTCCATTTAGTTCCATTGACAGTGTTCCGTGCCCCCACTCCATATGTGCTCTTTTCATCTTGCTCAAAATGCTGGCCTGGCATTTTTGCACAATGCTCATTTGTTTCTGAAAAGAGTATTCACACACAGTATCCACAGCTGTAAAAGCATGGAAGAGCTGCATTCATGCTTTAAAACGGGAAAGTAAAGATGAGCAGCTTCCAAACGCTCCATAATTAGTAAACAATGCCACGGCCTGTTCCTGTCCCAGAAGTAGGACATGACCAAATGAACCCTGCCTTTTCAGAGCTGCACTCCAGGGCTCAGGACGGGGCTGTCCCCGCAGCAGGCAGCTCCACAGGGAAGGTCAGTGGAGTCACAGGCATGGAAGGGAGCAGGATACGGAATTTGAGATGGGGAGCAAAGCTCTGCGTTTTGCTCCTCGCGATCTGCTGCCGCCGAGCACAGCTGTCAGCCGAAGGTCCAAGAAAAGCTTGTTTATGACTTAAAGCCTCTGTTGTTCTCATCTGAGGTCCTCGGGATTTATCGAGACGGGAATGAAAACTACGAGTCGGGAGCGCCGTGACCGCAGGGCACTGGAGGGAGGCAGCGCCTGCTCAGCGCTGGGCGGCATTTAAGGTGGTGGTGCTTTCGTGCTGGCCCTGACCAGCACTGGCCGCCAAGGGACCGCACCGGGCATTGCTGCGGACCGCTTCCACAGCCCTGCCTCAGCACGAGCCGCACTGCCAGTTTCCAGAGGGCAGGATGCGGGCCGGGAGAGGACGGGGAAAATGAGAACACCTTATCCCAGAGGGCC